TTTTGTTTAAAATTGCGTATATTGTACGTAATATTGCGCGAAAACAACTAAAATTTTAAAAACTTGTACATGACCGTAATGAATGAACTTACAGCGGAGAACAAATTTCTCTTGAAGGAAAAATCTATAACTATCTATTCACTTTTGTAACATTTGAAACATTTGGAATTTTCGAGTTAACCGTGAAAATCGGACCAGTGCGAACCTTATAAGTGTATTTTACTTACAAGATATTTAAACAAAAGAATTGGAGCTGATTTTAAGAAAATTGTGAATATGTCCGAGGAATCCATATAAAATACTCCCAAAAAATAATGAAGGTTTTTCAAAATCGCAGAGCTTCGACGCAGGCCGAATGGACAGAGATTTCTTCAATTTGGAAAAATGTTCTACACATAGTTTATGCGCTAGTGTGGTTCACACACTCCATGCAGACGGACAGGCGTTTTGAAAAAAACACTTTTTCTTTATCAGGGGTACTTAAAACGTGTATTTTCGTTGTAATCTCGAAATCGATTTTCCACGGCATTCTTCTTCGGCAACTTTCCATATATTACGTATATTACTCCTTATATACGTACTGTGACGAATATTGCATTATCTGCTGGTATACGCTGCGCGGATTGCGTCATCTGCCGGCGCCCCCCGCCCCCCCGAACTGGACGGTTCCGGGTTAGTCGCGAGTCGCGTTGAAGTATGGTGCAAGTTCCGGAAGGCTCGAGGCGGTCGCCGGCCTTGTATAAATTCGCCGCTGCCAGCAGCCCAGAGTCAGTCTGTAAGCAGTCAGTCAGTGAGTAAGCAGTCAGTCAGTGTGAGTATGTAGTGAGTAAGTAATCAGTCAGTTCGTCAGTGTGAGTAGGCAGTCAGTGAGTAAGCAGTCAGCCAGTGTGAGTACGCAGAGTGTCTGATGTCTCAATTGGAAGCTGAGCTGTGAAGTGCGCACTGCGGTGAACAGCAGTGATCAGCGCCGTGAACTGTAGCAGTGAATTGTGGACAGTGGAAGGTGCATCGGACTGTGCAATAGTGCAAAAGAAGTGAACAGTGTAAATAAATGATCAGCAGAAGTGAGTCGTGTGTAAGGAAATAACCAAGTGAAAAACACAAGGAATGGTAATGCAATCTGTAAATAAATGTAGTATTTTACGTATGTTTTAATTCACCACGAGGAACGTTAGAGTATGTATACGGGAAAGTAAAAATTGTATCTTAATAATTGTTGTAGGAAGACGCCGAACAAATTTTGAATGTTTTCATTTTTCGAGAAATCAAAGTTTTTCCACCAACATGAGAACTGCAACATTTATTTTAATAAATTCACCTTGAACGTCGTTCAGACTAAAACCAAAAAGAGCTCTTGTGTCTGTGGCGAAGTCGCCTGCCTTTCTCCCCTGAGTTTCGGGTTCGATTCCCGAAGAACCCCATGTGAAATTTGTTACAACAAAACGAGTTTGCCTCACACGGCCTAATCCAACTGTGAAGCGGCATAAACCTAAATCTTAGCCTTATCCTTATCCTTATCCTTATTCCTTCCCAACTCAGGCCGCGGGGAAATGACGCATAACCGCATGGTAGGAGGTGCGTATGCGGAGATGCTACTTGACGGTCCTATTGACAACTGACTTCGACGAGGCGTGACATGATATACAATAATATAGTAATGGAAGATTGCACCTAATAAGCGCAATAAATTAATGGAGGATTACTCCAAGCGCAAAGTGCCCCCCCCAGGTCTTGGAGACGTGTTGTTTCTATGTAGACGTAACAAATTAAAAAAACAATAATCAGAATCTATAGAGCCGTTTTTTAGAAAAAAAAATGTTTATACAAAATTAAAATTGCCTATGTTTCACACAAAATTGCGCGAAAATGCTCAAATTTTTAAAAACTTGCATATTAATAATAATAATATATTAATTGCTTTGGGAAAGATCCCGGTGGTAGCTCTTATAAGTACATCTAGTAATACATTTAAAATACATGTAAGTTATACGTTAAATTAAGTACATTAAAACCCCATATTTTTTTTACAAATTATGACTAATACTAAATGAATATAAATATGTGAATGCTCTAGTCTAACATATGTACTAGTATTTTTAATTTCGTATTTTAATTCGAACTAGCGACGTGTACGAAAGTTTCCGCACTCCCTCGTCTAAGAATTACCATCACGAAATGTAGAGCTTTCCATGCATTTCTGGCCACATAGTTCACTTGCTAGGCCCATCCCAAGTGTTCGTTAATATTAATTCCTAAATATTTAATATTGCTTACCCTGGGTATAGAATTGCCTTTCAGAGAATACGAGATATTTTCTGGTTTTTTTGTTTGTTTTTTTGTTTTTTTTTCTTATTAGAGCAATAGATTGCTTTGCATTTATTTGTATTAATTTCCATTTTATTCTCTGTGGTCCAGCTTTCTATTTTGTTAATGTCTGCTTGTAACACTTGAATGTCCTGGGTATCTTTAATTTCGCTGTATAGTATACAATCGTCTGCAAAGAGTCGAATTTCGGACTTAATGTCGTGACCGACGTCGTTTACATAAGCAATGAACAGCAACGAACCTAGAACGCTTCCCTAAGGGACCCCTGACGATCTTATTACAATATGTGACCTTATTTCAATGTATATATTTATGAAAACGGTTTTATTAAGGGAAAATCTATATCTTTAATATTCTAGTTGTGGGAAGTCCCCGAAAAATTTTTAATATTTTCTATTTTCGAAAAAGTAGAGAAAACATGAGACCTGCGCCATTCTCTTCAAAGTTCTTGAGACTATCCAAAATAAAAATAAATAAAAATTTATGGCGCCATTTTTTGGAAAAATAAATTGTCCCAGAGGTTTAATTAAAGTACCCTCCAAAATTAAAATATTGATTTCAAATTCAATGAATCGTAACATCAGCCAGATCGATTAGGGAATATCAATTTGGAGAAAATCGGCTGAATGGTTTAGCCGTTAACGTTCTTGATAGATGGACAAATGGACAGACACGTCAATGTTTGCCGTCAATGTATTTTTCGGTATCAAGGACCCACAAAACATGGATTCTGGCTACTCCGCTACCGCGCTAGCATGAAAGTAAAAAATGAGCATCTGCTATTTACTCGTGTTTTCTGAGTTCATGCTTGGTAGTGTATGAAAAAACTGAAGAAAATAATCACGTTCCTAAGCTCAGTGGAGCAAGAAGTGGAGATATGCTCTTGTGGCTCAATGGCTAAGTCGCTTGTCTTTCACCACTGAGGTTCCCGATTCGATTCCCGTAGAATCCCCATAGATCCTCATGTGAAATTTGTTGAGACAAAACGAGTTTGCATGCTTCGCAGGCCAACCCCTGTGAAGTGTCCTACACTCTAACCCAATTCTAATGCCTTCCCAATTCTGGCCGCTGAGTAGTAACGCAGGGGCGCGTAGTAGAACGCGCGTATACGGAGATGCTAATTGACGGTCCCGTTCACAACTGATTGTGATCAGATGTGATTGATATGACATGAAATGAATTAATGGAATATTACTCCGAAAACGCAAAGAGCTCAACGCCCTCGGGGCTTGGAGACGCGTTGTGTCAACTGAAGACGCAACATTTTTTTTAAAAAAATGCTCACATTCACATGAAATAAAATCGAGAACTTATTCATTTGGTGAGCACATCCTCAGATTGTTTTGAGCTTGAGATGGCTCACTTTTATGAGTGAAGATATCATCCCTTTGTTTTTAATAGAAATCTGTCCAGAATGGCTTTGTTGACACGAATTTGAGAAGCAAAAAGTTGTACCGCAAGGCGCAATTCAATGAGATAGAACTTCCAAAGTGTATTATGCTTTGAGAAGAGAAATGTTACATTTGACACATCGTTTGTATCCAATCAAAAGATGAACACTAAACTGCGTTTTCGCAGCTCTGCACCTGGCAGGTATCAGCTGTTGACAGTTTCATCCAATCGGTAGCTTGAACGTCACCATAATGACGTCAGTATGATTGACTTACTTAACGGTGGGAAGATATTTTCATGCAGTACGAGTACTGATATTTATAATTACAACACACGTCGTAAAAATCACGTTCAAGTGTCAGTATCGACAGCACACTACCAGAAATCCACATACAATACATGTACGTTAGATGACATTGAAGTCGGTTCACAAATTTACTTAATATGTTTAATGTATGTTAATATTAATGTTAATATGTAAAAAGACTTAATATGTTTGTGTACTCCAGCTTCCGGGTCAATGACCCTATCTCGATCAGGTTTTTGTCAAGTTTTCCTGATCCGTTGAGCAAATACTGAGATGACTTGACCCTTGTTTTGCTTGTGGATGTAAATGCCTCCTGTAAATGTCCTTTTGCTTGTAATGATAGGAGAGTAGGTAAGGCCGAGTTA